CCTTCTCCTCCACTTCAAGACCCAATGACTGACCAATGGACACAATCTCCTGGTCCAACTCTGTGTCATCCTCAAATCCCTCAAAATCATGGACTACTGATGGCCACAGTGCTTTCCATGAAGAATTGAGGGTTCTATTGGAGACTTCTTGCCATGATGACACAATCAATTTTACAGCCTCCAGGACGTTGAATTGTGTCTTCCAGAACTGTTTCAGTGTTAGTTCAGGATCAATGGAAGTTGCCTGATGACACCTCCTAAACATTTTCTTCATGTACAACTTCTTGAAGTTGCTGATCACATTCTGGTCCATTGGCTGTATGAGTGATGTAGTGTTTGGAGGCAAAAACAACACTTTCACAAAGTCAAATTGATACTCCAAATTTCTGGCAAGGTCAGGGTCATGACCAGGAGCATTATCCATGAGGAGAAGAGCCTTTAAAGGAAGTTTATTGGTGGTTAGGTAGCTCTTGACAGAGGGGCAAAACACATCAACAGCCCATTCATTAAAGAACTGTCTTGTCACCCATGCCTTACAGTTGGACTTCAATAAACTCCAAGCATTGTTCTTACCACTTTCTGTTGCTTGAACACCCTGGGGTTTTCAGAGTGGTAGACAAGCATAGGCTTCAGTCGGAAATCCCCTGAAGCATTGGCACCAAGCAATAGAGTGAGACGGTCTTTCATGGGTTTATGCCCAGGTAAAGAGGCTTCATCCTTGGTGATGAATGTTCTTTTGGGCATCTTTTTCCAGAACAGCCCAGTTTCGTCAACATTGAACACTTGCTGTGGAAGATAATTTTCTTCTTCCATCAGTTTTTAAATTCAATTAAAAACTTTGCTGCCCCTTCTTTATCAGCACTAGCAGCTTCACCATGCCTAACAACACTTAAAATGTCACTTCTTTTCTTAAATTTTTCGAACCAGCCTTTGCTAGCCCGAAAATCTTCAAATTCTGTTCCTGAAGAACCAGGTTGATCTGTCTTTAAATGTTCATAAATCTCCCTGTCTCTTTCACAAATGAAATCACCAGAAACTGAATCACCTTTCATCTGTTTTTCCCTAATCCAGATAAGTAACCTCTCAGTTTCTACGATTAGGGATCTACTTTTAAACACTCTTGTAGATTTGTCTCTCACGTTCACTTCCTTAAATTTGTCTTTTTGTGCAAGAATTGTCGACACAGTTGATGCCGACATGCCATATTCTTTGCATAGCGCATTTGATTTAATACCTTGTTCGTGTTTTTTTATTATTTCCTGCTTTATTTGGATTGAAATCACTTTTCTTGATCTCTTAGGCCCCATGCTGGATTCAAACAATGGCAACACGTATTTTTCAAAGTTAAACTAGCTGTAAATAAAGAATATTTTCTTTAAAGTAACACTGCACTGCACTATATATTGTCAATATGTAAAATAATTTTCAAAATGACCAATAATTTGCTTGGAAACACAGAAAAAAGCGTTTAGTTGAAGAGAGTCTCAAGCAAGATGTTACCTCCAGTGAAAACAGAGAGAGACTAACGCCTGTTTGCTGTGTTAAGAGGCTGGATGCCGCGCATTAAACTAGTCACTTTACCTTCAATTATGTTCAATAATTGTTAAAATGACTAAAAAATTGAATATTAAACTTTTAAAATTATTGAATAGTATAAACTTCTTGATATTTACAAAAATAGTAAGGAATTTAAGCCCTAGAACCGATTAATGTATTGGCGGACTGATACTAAAGCTGGTTGCCCGGTCAGTGCAAGCGAAAACATGTTGAGGTCGGTTCGTAAGAAGTTCGTTAAGCGAAATTTTTTTCGTTAAACGAATTGAAGATCCTTATGGAAGGATTATCGAATTATTAAGCAGTGTTGGGTCACAGTATATATATATATATATATATATATATATATATATATATATAAAATAGTTCTGGAACTCTTAAGTGACAGGGCTGATGTAAACACTTATTCTGGAATTTCTTTATTTCTACAGAACTATATACTACACAGGTACTTCATTTGGGAGAGAATGTAGTGTGAATTCTCTCCAGATAAGTGTCTTGACTGCACTTGTACAGTGGTCCCTCGGTTAACGAACTCAATTTGTTCTAGAGGGTCGTTCGTTAACCAAAATTTTGTTAACCGAGGCGTTCGTTAACCGAGGGACCATTGTATATGAGAACACTAAAGTGAGGTGTTCAACCCTTAGTGAGTAGTAAGAATCTGCTCCTCCTCTTGCTCAGAGCGTGAGAGTCAAGGAGGACCGGGTGAGGTATATGCTAACTAAGCTGACCTAGCTCAACTTCTGATGAATTTATAGATTCAGCATGTATGACATGAACAACTACTGAGTCAGAGTTAAATTACTTAGTGAATAACTACAGTACAAATGGTGCTGTTACAGATAAGGGGACAGCTTGTTATCATGGGAGCGCTCGTGGTCACTTACGCACTTAGCGGCCTTTTTCTGCTTGTCTTTGTGTCCGGGATGGCCAGTAATGCATATATTTACTGATCATAATACTTATTTCCAATAAGTAATTAATTTAGAATTTATTTTATATGCATTATTTTTCATAAAAAGTTCTTGGCGACACACACGGTCTGTCGCCAGGCTGTCTGGTTGTCTCTATGTTTGGGAGAGCAAGTAATGCATATAAATAATTATCGGAATAATAATTTCGCAAATAAATACATTTATAACATAATCATAGCATTAATTTCCAGTAATAATACACTACAATACAACTACACTACTTTTAGCAATATTACTTTGATACAACATGATAAAATGGTGACCGGCTAATGCGAACTAACCGCACTGAGCCCACCCACGCTACCCTGCATGTGACGTGACACCAAATAGTCATGCTGGAAACTGATAACCAGCACTGGGCATTCAAACAATGCCGCAAAAAGGTGCTCATTCCGGAACGTCAACCGGAAGTACTGTACAGTATACAGTACAGTACTCCCTCTTTATCGACGGGGGTTACGTTCTGTAGACGGCCGTCGATAAAGAAACCGTCGATACCGTGATGGTTACGTAATTTTTCTAACTATTATTAGCATATGTTGAATAAATGTACCTTTAAGCATTAATGCGTTTCCTTTACACATAACCTTAAATAATAGTGTATAAATAATAATATAATAAGTGGACAAAAATACTAGCAAACTTACGATTTCATTTATTGAAGTGAACATCGGTCCTTACAGTAAACAATACAGTGTACAGTATATACAAGTGTGATGATTGAGGCTTATTAAAAGCCTGACCAGTCAGATTGATGTGATGAACCACCAGCAAAAGTTGAAAATCAAAGACTGTTGCCCACGCGGCTTGGCTGATGTCTGTGTTCAGGGAAGGCGGGCCGCAGGTAGACGCTAGTCACGCCACTAGTGCCGCCTAGCGGCGAAAGTACAAACAAGGCCCGCAGAGTTCAAATAAAGCCAAAATAAAAATCCGTCTAAATAATCCGTCGATAATCGAAACCGTCGATAAAAAATCCGTCGATAAAGAGGGAGTACTGTATATATATTAATAACATGCTGTTTTTTATCTTTACAGCTATGATGCAATCTTCACAGCTGGCAAGGAAGTTATATTGGAACGGTTTGACAACCTTGATGCACGGGTTGTGTTTGCTGCAGAAGACTTTTGCTGGCCAGACAAAACTCTTGCTTCACAGTATCCACGTGTTTTCTTTGGCTACAAATATCTCAACTCTGGGGGTATGGATGACTTGGCTATTAAAAGAAATAGATATAAAATATTTAAAGTAAAATAATGTAGTACGTAGATATGTAATGCTCAGTTGGTACTGTACCAGGTACTATACATAGCTTCCAGTTAGTTAGGGAAGCATTACGGTAACTTGTTATTAGATTGGCAATTCACATTTAATTCAACTGTAATCCTTTCTTCAAATTTTGCAGGAATCATTGCATATGCTCCAGAACTCTACAAGATCACATCTTTATATAAGATAGAAAATAATGATGATGATCAACTCTACTTTACAAAGATATTCGTGGACAAAAATAAAAGAGATGAGTTCAAGATGAAACTTGACACCCAGGCAAATATTTTCCAAAACCTGAATGGACAATTAGGTAAGTTATGAAGTACTGTACCTCAAATTTTATGTAAATTTTATTCCCCAAATGGATAAGTTACGCAGCATGCCCTTAAAATTCGCCGGGGTTAGGTTCTGAAAATGGCTGCCAATAGCCAAGTCTGGGAATAACATTTGCTGACCGTAGTGGGGAGGGGGGCGTTACATTTTTACTTGTGTGCAATGAAATGTATACTGTATTCCCTTTGTGTTTGCCTTTAGGACAATTATTTATTATACCTTTATTGTATATATGTGTGTGTGTATAGACACATACACTAACAAAGCACAGAGTTGACTTGAGGGTAGACTCACATTTTTAATACATTTTTGTTTTGTTTCTGATTATTTGTGAGAGGATTTTCCCATTATTATTTATTTGTATGTGTTTTGTGTGTGTGTCCACACACACATGCATGCGCACACACACACTACTACTACGACTACTACAGTACTTTGCTGTTACTCGGAATCGAGTATGACGATCATCCAGCTATGATAAAATGATATGGGTTATTAGGGATGTCACCTAGGTTAGCGAGTGTTGAGGTGACTAAAAAGCCCGATACGAGATCGGCAGCATCGTCCACATTTGTTGCACATGTGAAGGGCTCCATCCACTGTGGGAGGGGCGGTGGCAGCGTCTTTCCGATGTTGGATCTTATCTGCCTCGGTTTGCAGTCGGGCTAACTCGAAAGTATCGACACCTTCCCATGTGGTGCTCCTTCAAGCGTTACGATGTGGAGTAATCGACTCCCAGGTGAGAGGGGTCGATTTGGCACCTTTTCAGGTTTGTCTTAAGACTATCCTTGTACCCTTTCAATTGCCCGCCAGCGTTACGTTTACTATTCGTTAGGTGACTGTAAAGTAACTGCTTTGGCGGTCTACTGTCGTCCATGCGGGTAACATGGCCAGTCCAACGTAGTTGTTCATGGATAATGGTAGCCTCGATACTCCTACAGTTGGTGTCAGCAAGAATCCTGGCATTTGTTCTCTTGTCTTCCCAGCGAACTCGGAGGCTGGAACGTAGACTACGTTGGTGAAAGATTTCAAGTGCCTTGAGGTGCCTCCTGTATGTAACCCATGTCTCACTGCCATATAGTAGAGTGGGCAGAACCACTGCTCGATATACGTGTAACTTTGTGGATAATTTCAGCTCCCTACAGCTGAAGACACGATTTCGGAGTCCGCCCAAGACGTGAGATCCAATGCTGAATTTCTTCATCGATGTCTGCGGTGGTGGACAGGTTGGAGCCGAGATACCGAAAGTGGGTAACATTATAGAGTGTAGTACCGTTAAGCTGGTTGGATGGTGGAGGTGTGTCTGAACCAGGGGCAGGTGGAAAGAGAATCCGAGTCTTATGTACATTCACATCAAGGCCGAAGTGTGCATACGTGTCTGCATAGGTGTTCAGGGTCTCCTGTAGGTTATGTTCAGTGTGAGCAACAAGGGTGAGGTCGTCTACATACTGAAGTTCAGTTATGGAAGCTGCTGACACCTTTGTTCTTGCCTGGAACCGTCTTATGTTGAATAGACCCCCCCTTTACCCGGTACTCGATGTTTACCCCGCTGCCTAAATTGGCACTGGTACGAGTAAGGAAGGCAGGCAAGAAGATGGAAACGAGAGTTGGTGCCAGTACACACCCTTGTTTAACCCCTGTTTGGATGGGAAAGAACTCAGACTGGGTGCCGTTGTGCAGGACACTACCGTTCATGCCATCGTGGAGTTGCCTCACAATGGCGATGAATTTTGGTGGGCAGCCAAAACGGCTGAGGGTCCACCAGAGGGCTCCCCTGCTGACCAAGTCGAAGGCCTTGGGTAGGTCAATGAAAGCCATGTACAGGTCACGACGCTGTTCTCTGCACTTTTCCTGTATCTGGCGGGCAGCAAAGATCATGTCAGTGGTGCCACGTGATGGTCTAAAGCCACATTGAGATTCTGGGAGGAAGTTCTCCGCCTTAGGAAGCAGTCTGTTTAGGAGGACTCGGGCTATAATCTTGCCAGCTACGGAGAGCAGCGAGATCCCTCGGTAGTTGTCACAATCTGACCGGTTCCCCCTTGTTCTTATAAATATTGACAATGGAGGCATCTTTAAGAGCTTGGGGGATTTCCTCCTTTTCCCATATATTCTCATGGAGAGTGGAGATGGCTGGTAAGTAGAGGTCCTCCTGCTTTATACACCTCGGCTGGGATTCCATCAGGTCCTGAGGCTTTGTTATTTTTCATCTGTTTGATGGCAGTTGCTACCTCATCTAGGGATGGAGAATAGCTGAGGTGGGTCAGCTCTGGATGCTGAGGGCCCTGTTAGGTAGTCAGGACATCCACATCAGTGTTTCAGTTGAGCAATGAATGATAGTGCTCTTTCCAGCGCTGAAGGAGGCCTTCGATGTCTTTAATTATGTGGTTACCGTCAGATGAGCGGAGGGGGCTGTGCCACGAGTCACTGGCCCATAAAATGTTTTAGTGTAAATGGAAAATTTGCACATCTTTTGCTGATCTGCAAGTTTTTGTGCTTCACATGCTTTATTTTTAAGCCAGTTGTTCTTTAGATTGCGAAGTTCCCACTGGGCTGCCACTTTCTTCTTGCGGAAGGTATCAGCTTTGTTCCGAAACTAAGGGTTGTTCTGCCAGTCAATAAAAGCAGCATGTTTATCATTGATGTGTACTTTGATTGCCGCGTCATTTTCATCAAACCAGTCCTGGAAAAGAACTGGCCGAGGGTCTCTCTGCAGGTCTTTGTCATAACAGTATTAAGAGTATCCCATTTGGCACTGGGATTCACTTTGTTTGCTGTTGGATTGTTTATAATCCCATGTTCGAGCTGCTCTCTGAAAGCATGTGCTACCACTGGATCCTCCAGACACTTCGTATTAAAACCTCTTCTGGAGGCTTGCTGCCTTCGCTGTTTTAGGGCAACGTGAAGTGAGAGCTTGGATCTGACAAAGTTATGATCAATGTCACAGTGGTCTGAGCTGCGCATGGCACGGGTGATGAGGACATCTCGGCAATCTCTTTCTCTGACAATGATGTAGTCAGTGAGACGCCAGTGTTTGGATCGTGGGTGTTGCCATGATCCCTTGAACTTGTCGGCTGCCTAAACAAGGTATTGGTGATAGTGAGGTTGTGAGCAGCACACTTGCTGAGAAGGAGTAGGCCATTGGGATTACACTTGCCTAGTCCATTTCTCCCTATGGTTCCCTGCCAAATGTTCGCATCTCTGCCAACTCTGGCATTGAAGTCGCCAAGGAGCACAACCTTGTCTTCTCTGGGGATAGAGGATAGCACTCTGTTGAGGTCGGCATAAAAGGCCAACTTGATGTCATCCTCTGCATCTAGTGTTGGGGCGTATGCACTGATGAAGAAGGCATGACGTGAGTGATTCAGTGGGACTCGAAGCGTCATGAGGTGCTCGTTGATCCCAATAGGCATTTCAATTAGCCTGTGTATGATGCGTTGGCGGATGCCAAAGCCAACTCCATAATGTGAGTTGGCCCTCATCTGGGACTCACTGATGGCTGCTATGTCGACGTTATACCTAGCCAGTTCTTTTGCCACAAGGTCAGTTCTTCTTTCAGGATGCGCATTTGTACCAGTATCCAGAAGGGTCCTGACATTCCATGCAGCGACCATAAAAGGTTGTATGGTTTGTTTTTGTTTGGATTTCTGATTTTGATTGTGTTTTCGACCGCATAAGGATGACTTTACTGGGTGTGATTGCCCAGTCAAGTTGGGTTTTTAGGCAGGCTTTGTTTAGGGAACCTTTTCTAGCCCCCTCCCCATGTGGGGTGACCAGAGTAAGGGCTGCTCAGTCGCACAGACAGGACCGGATTGTTCTGCTGCCTAGATCCCAGTGCAGAAACGACCATCTTATCTGTGCCGCCCATGTACAGAGTTGTGACTAGAGACTCCCGGCAGTCATCTCTACCTGTCCCCATTGCCACTCGTCCGTCATCATAGGACTTTTGGGGGTATAGGGGTTTTGATGATGATGAGAGGTATGATGAACTGGATGATTGCTGCGCGTGAGTTGATTTATGTGGATGAGGCAGGAGCGCAGGCTCCAACCACACATCTTGGCTCTCCCTTTTCCTGATCCAGTGGTGCAAGTGTTGCAATGACTGGGGAGAGGGAGAGTTGCAATGGACTGCCGATAGCCCAGTTTGCTGGGTTTCGCCTTAGTAGCCTGTCCATCAGGCATTGCCTTCGTCCACCGGTGTAGTTGTTGGGTTTTTATGGTGGTCACCTCTTCTGCCTACACCGCCGTTGGGGTCTTGTTGGAGCTCTGTAAGCATGTCTACCTGATGCGGGGCTCCACTGCAGATTTTTCGTTTGGGATTTACTCCCGTAGCCATATACCTGCCAAGGTTAATTCACAAGGCAGTGGGGCAGTGGTTGGTCGGCTTCGGAACGTGTCCACATGCCAGTGGGCCTATGCGCCATCCCTCTAGGGCTCACTGCTACTCCGAGATCCCTTGCTGATCTCGCCTGGGCCCACGAGGCACCCAGTTACCGTGTGCTGCCACGAGGAGGCACAGCAGGGGTCTTGATGGTGAGGAGGCTGTGTACTGGCATTAGAAGACTAATGCAAGTTGCTTCCCTGTTCGCCACGAGGGCTGGCCAGCGGCGGCAGCTGAAAGCGAGAGGGAGCGAGCAGTGCTTGCACCTTTACACTAACATAATGCTGCCACACTAGATGCCTTTCGCCACCCTGTGTAGTGTGCACACACACACACACACACACACACACATAAAAAAAAAAAATACAGGTAAAAGAAATTACTGTCTGTAGAACGAATGGTTCCCTGTCCCGGCCGTGAAAATGCCAGCAACTTTAAAACTACCCTTCTACATTCTTGGGTACATCCAGGGTGACATAGGCGAATAATCGAGGTCCGCGAATTTTAAGGGCATGCTGTACAGCTATTGACATTAACAGTCGATTTACAGGGTGTCTACTGGTCTGGAAAACCTGGAAAAGGCAGGGAATTTTACAGAT